TGCCATGTATGCTGTGACTATTAGTGATGAGGGTGACTGTTACCGGTGTTTTCCGCCCGACCCGGGCATTGAAACTGCTGCTCTAGGTACTGGTGAAGCTGCTGCTCTAGGTGCTAGCGAGGCTGCTGCTCTAGGTGCTAGTGTGTCTGCGTCCTCAGGTGCTGGTGAGTCTGCTCTCTGAGGTACTGCGTCGGCTTCGGCCTCCCTCACCTTCACCCTTGACTCGGAGGCTTCTCGCTCCTTCTTTCGAGACCGCACCATACTCACGCCGCTTGGTCGTGTCAAACATTATATATGTTGTGCTTGTTTAGGCTACAGTGGTTTAGCCTATAGGGGGTACACAATTCTAGGGTTAGGTACTTGTACTGCTTTCACTGTTAGTTCAATCATTCCTGATCGTTCATTTCAACAGGTCGGCCAGTTGCAGTCTCTCTGGCAGACCCCTCTGGGGGTCCTGTCCTTGATCACTTCTCCACTGTCCTCCCGTGTCCGGCAGCTCCCTCTAGCACCCTGTCTGGTCTTTACCTCCCCTCGTTCTCTACGAACTTGGTGAGTGGTGCTGACCTACAGGATAGGGGAGTTCACCAGTTCACTCCTGCAAGCCAGCGAGTGACCCACTGCACTGAGGCTCGGACGGGCCGACACTTAGCCACGTTTACACGTCGGCCGGGGTCGAGCCTGTACACACTGACCACTGTGTCTCCTCCTGTCCCTGTGTCTGGTCAGGTAGCTGTGTTGCGTTAGGTGTTTACTGCAGCGTCCAGGTCTGGTCCTGAGTCTTCCCCCTTCTCGTGTCGCCTCCTGTCTCACGAGACTCTCCTCTGGCACCACCGCCTTGGTCACCCCTCTCTGCTTCGTCTCCGAGGCATGGTCTCCCGTCTCCTTGTTTCTGCTCTTCCCCGGTCCCTCCCTCCCCTTCCTCTGGGGCCTGGCCGTACCTGTGTCCCCTGTGTCGAGGGGCGGCAGCAGGCTGCCCCTCACTCCTCCCAGTTTCCTCCGATAGAGGCCCCGCTGCAGACGCTTCACATGGACGTGTGGGGCCCAGCCCGCGTCCGTGGACAGGGTTACGAGCGCTACTTCCTGCTGGTGGTTGACGACTACTCGCGTTACACCAGAGTCTTACCCTTGCGTAGCAAAGGTGATGTCACTGAGGTGCTGATCGACTGGATCCGCGCAGCTCGTCTCCAGCTCAGGCAGAGCTTCGGCTCGGACTTTCCTGTTCTGCGTCTGCACTCTGATAGAGGCGGAGAGTTCTCCTCTGGCCTTCTGCGAGCTTACTGTCGTGCACGAGGCATCCGTCAGACCTTCACGCTTCTTGACTCTCCACAGCAAAACGGGATTGCTAAGCGCCACATTGGCATGGTCATGGACGTCGCTCGTACGTCCATGATGCATGCGGCTGCCCCCCATTTTCTGTGGCCGTTTGCGGTTCGGTACGCGGCGCATCAGATCAACCTTCACCCCAGGGTCTCCAGGCCGGAGACCTCCCCAGCTTTGCTGTGGACGGGGAAGGTTGGCGATGCGTCTGTGTTCCGTGTCTGGGGATCTCGGGCGTTTGTCCGCGACTTGTCTGCAGACAAGCTGTCCCCTCGTGCTGTTCCTTGCGTCTTCCTTGGCTTCCCCCCTGACGCGCCAGGGTGGTAGTTCTACCACCCCACCTCTCGCCGTGTTCTGTCCTCCCAGGACGTCAAGTTTGACGAGTCAGTCCCCTACTACCGCCTCTTCCCCTACCGCACTCCGTCCCTTCCCCCGCCTCCGCTCTTCCTTGTACTAGGTCCCCGCTCGGTAGACCCCCTCCCCCCTCAGGGTCCTGCCCCTTCAGGTGTGTCCCAGGTAGACGCAGTCGAGCCTGTCAAGGTTACTGGTGACTCTGGTGCAGCTGAGGGTGCTGAGCCTGGGGGTGCTGAGTCTGGGGGTGCTGAGCGTGTGGGTGCTACGCCTGGGGGTGCTGAGCCTGGGGGTGCTGAGCTTGGGGGTGCTGAGCCTGGGGGTGTTACGCCTGGGGGTGCTGAGCCTGGGGGTGCTGAGCCTGGGGGTGCTGAGCCTGGGGGTGTTATGCCTGGGGGTGCTGAGCCTTGGGGTGCTACGTGTGGTGGTGCTAAGCCTGGGGGAGTGGAGCCTGCGGGAGCTGGGCCTGTTAGTGTGGCGTCTAGGGGTGCTGGGCCTGGAGGTTCTCCGGGTGCTTCGTCTCGGCGGGAGCCGCTCTCTCCACCGGAGCTGCGCGAGTGGTTTGCCCGGCGCTGGAGGCGTGCTGCTGGAGCTGGAGGTTCTTTGGCTGCTGAAGGTGCTGGTGCCGCGGGTCCCGGAGGTGCTCGTACTAGGAGTACTGGAGCTGCTCGGCCTACGGGTACGACTGGAGCTGGAGCTGCTGAGGGTGTTGGCACTGAGGCTATTGCTGTCGGTCCTGGAGGCGGTCATGTTGAGTGTGCTACTGGTGCTGCTGGAGGTACTGGAGCTGGAGGTGCTGTTGGCGCTGGTGCTGCCGCCGGGGGTGCTGGTGCTGTCCCTACTGTGTCTGGAGTCGCCGCACGGCCTCGGACGTACTTCGTTTCGCTCCTTGTGCCTGCCTTGCCTCACTTGCTCACCTCTTGACCTTGCTTGTACTATTACATATATATATATACACCTGCTCTTGGTTGTCTAGCCTTTTATATATATATACTCCTGCATGTGAAGTGGCCTTGTGGCCTTGACCTTGTGCTTAGAATGTGTGGTGATTTTGTGATCCACCCTGAGCTTGCTTTGCTTTGCTTTGCTTAACTGGTCTTGTGACCCGTTGTTCTCCCCCACTTTGCCTATGGGGGTGTGTCAGAACATTATAGCTTATGCATTTGTGTAGGCTGTAGTGGGGTAGCCCATAAGGGGTACAACCCAATTAGGGTTAGTACTTGTACCCAACTGTTTCATAGTTCATTCATTCTCGTTTCAGTTTTCTCATATAAGTCTTATAAATGGAAACTTTTTAAACTACTTAGAAACCTTTTCTGTACTTCTTTAAAAAGAGTTTCTCATAATGCGTGTGGATGTTGCGAAGGTGCCACTTTGCCAACCTCTGCCCGAGACGCCACGTTATGGAGAACACATGAAGGGGCAAATTTGGTAGGTCCTGGGTCAACGCGTGGAAGAATTCGCGCTTCGCAAGGGTAAAAAAGTACGCAGTACTCAGGGCTAACGTTTCAAATTAGGCCTCCCTGAATCCGGGAAAAAATTCCCCCCTATATTATGGGTGCACATTTTTCAGAAAAAACATCACCCTGATTGCTCTGTTGGGCTGAAAAACCCCTTAGGATCTTTGCAGGGGTGAACTCTGGGTAGAGTTGATGTAATAGCGGAAGCGTTAATTAAAGAGTTGTGAACCACCTTGCGCTAGTATGTGAGGGCAAAGTAAGTTGCTTAAAACAAAGAGATACAAGCTTTTATAAGAGTACAAGGAATACGAAGAGATACAGTTAATAACCGTTTTACTATTGTTGTTGCGGTTCGATACAGTGACGATTCGGGCAACTGCTCAATACCGAGTCAGTTGTTTGTCCTTGCTGTCGCGCTGTAATTTGTCACGTCAAAAGTCGCTGACCTTTGACTTTCGCGTAACCTCCAACTGTTACTTTCAACCTCCGAGGGTTGACTCGCCGGTGATTCGTTATACTTCGTTTCTTTTGTGTCTTAGAATTTTGACACGACAGAGGCGTTTAAGACCGATTGTTTCCAACACTCCCCTTCGCTTCTGGAGTGTCGCTGACGTGGCTCTGTCCAGTCAGCTGTCAAAACATTATAGCTTATGCTTTTGTGAAGGCTATAGTGGGGTATCCCATAGGGGGTACAACCCAATTAGGGTTAGTACTTGTACCCAGTTCATTCATAGTTCATTCATTCTCGTTCATACTTTCTCATGGTATCGGGCAGGTTCCCTCGTGGGAACAGTTCCTAGGGCCCACCGATCCCTTTTTTTTCTGCCCGGGGCGCGTCCTGCCCCTGCCCGAAGCGCGCCTAGGGTCGCGCCCTTCTTAGCGGCCCCGTCGCGTCACCTTAGCGGCCCGTCGCCCTTAGCGGCCCGTCGCCCTTAGCGGCCCGTCGCCCTTAGCGGCCCGTCGCCATTAGCGGCCCTTAGCGGCCCGTCGCGCAGCCCTAACGGCCGCGTCGCGCCGCCCTTTCACGAGCGACCCGTCGCCGCCCTAGCAGCGGCCCGTCGCCACCCTAGCAGCGGCCCGTCGCCGCCCTAGCAGCGGCCCGTCGCCGCCCTAGCAGCGGCCCGTCGCCGCCCTAGCAGCGGCCCGTCGCTGCCCTTTCAACAGCGACCCGTCGCCGCACTAGCAACGGCCCGTCGCCGCCCTTCTCACCTGCGGCCCGTCGCCGCCCTTCTCACCTGCGGCCCGTCGCCACCCTTCTCTCCTGCAGCCCGTCGCCGCCCTAGTAGCGGCCCGTTGCCGCCCTTTCACCCGAGGCCCGTCGCCGCCCTAGCAGCGGCCCGTCGCCGCCCTTCTCACGTGCGGCCCGCCGCTCTCAACAGCGGCCCCGCCGCCCTAAACTGCTGCGGCCCCTGCCGCCCTTATCTGCGGCCTCGCCGCTGTCATTTGCGGCCACGCCACCCTCTGCTGCGGCCTCGCCGCCTCTCACCTGCGGCCCCGCCGCTCTCCTCTGCGGCCCCGCCACCAGAGCTGCCCAACCCGCCCCATCCAGCCGAGCAGCCGATCGCCGCGCCGCCCTGCAGCAGCACCGCCGAGCCACCCTGGCGACGGAGCGGCCGGGCAGCCGAGCCGCCCAGCAGCCGAGCCGCCCAGCACCCGAGCCGCCCAGCAGCCGAGCCGCCGTACAGTCGAGCCGCCGGGCCGCCGAGCCGCACTGCAGCCAAGCCGCCCAGTAGCCGAGCCGCTCAGCCACCGAGCTGCCCTGCTGCCGAGCCGCCCTGCTGCCGAGCCGCCCGAGCTCCGTCCGGTAAGCACTGCGTCTCCTTCACTGCACTGCCCTCACCCTGCTGTTTGCACTGCTAGTCTACTGTGGTCATGGCTACCCCTAGTGTCATCGCTTTTGACGCTGAGGGTCGGGCCATTGACTTTGAGGTCTGGATAGATGACCTGCAGCTGTTCTTACAGTGCGATAGTGCAGACGGCCTCTCTCTCTTTGACCTCACCTCTGGCGCTTCCCCTGCCCCTGCTGCTGATGCTGACGCCACTGTTTGTTCCCAGTGGGCCACAAGCGACGCTGCTGCACGTCTTGCTGTGCGTCGCCACCTCCCTACCTCTGAGCGTGCACACTTTAGTCAGTATAAGAGTGCTCAGACCTTGTACGACGCTGTAGTTGCACGCTACTCCTCCCCTGCCACTGCTGCACTGAGCCGTCTCATGCTGCCGTACCTCTTCCCTGACCTTGCTGCCTTTCCCACAGTCGCTGACCTCATTACGCACCTCCGCACTAGTGACACTCGCTACCGCGCTGCGCTTCCTGCTGACTTCTGCGCCAAGAACCCCCCCCCCCCATGTACATCACCCTCTACTTCATAGTCACCCGGCTCCCTGACTCCCTTAGAGTAGTCAGGGACCACTTCCTCGCAGTGTGCCCCACCACTCTCACCATTGACCTCCTCGAGAAGGCCCTCCTAGCGGCGGAGAAGAGCATAGTTGCTGTAGGAGCCTCTCGTGGTGACCCCCGCACCCCTGTCTTTGAGGGGTGTTCTCCCTCCCCCCTCTTGCCCTCTGTTGCTTCTGCTGCTGCGGCCGACCTCGTTGGTTTTGAGTCGGTTGGTGCTGCGTCTGCCCCGTCGGAGTAGCGCCGCACAGGCAAGGGCAAGTGGGGCAAGGGCGCTGGAGGAGCTGGCGGGGGCGGTGGTGGTGGCGGTGGAGGCGGCGGAGGGAGTGGGGGTGGTGGTGGGAGTGGTGGAGGGGGTGGGGGTACCGGTGGCAGCAGTGGTAGCGGGGGCGGCGGCGGTGGCGGAGGGAGCGGAGGCGGTGGTGGTAGCGGAGGTGGCGGTGGTGGCGGAGGTGGCGGAGGCGGCGGAGGCGGCGGAGGAGGCGGAGGTGGCGGTGGAGCTGGTCGCGGGTCTACGCAGAGGAGTGGCTCTGGTGGTGGTCCGCGCCAGCAGCAGCAGCGCGGTCGTGAGACCCTGTCCCCTCAGCAGCTCCGTGAGTGGTACAATGCACGCAAACGGGGTGAGGGTTTTGGTCCGTGCACCTACGTCCTGCGCACCGGCGACCGTGCGGGTGAGCAGTGTGGGGGTGCGCACCCCACCCAGCGATGCTTTGGCCGCCTGACGGACGCGTGGCGTCACCAGTTCCCTGAGGCCACAGAGATCCCTCGCTGGGGAGAGCTGTCTAGGGCGGGAGTTGCCATATATGATCTTGATTTTGATGCTATTCTGTCTGCCATGTATGCAGTGACTATAAGTGATGAGGGTGACTGTTACCGGTGTTTCCCGCCCAATCCGGGCATTGAGACTGCTGCTCTAGGTACTGGTGCGGCTGCTGCCCTAGGTGCTTGCGACGTACAGGATGGGGGAGTGCACCAGTTCACTCCTGCGCGTCAGCGAGTGACGCACTGCACAGAGGCTCGCACAGGCCGCCACTTGGCTACGTTTACACGTCAGCCGGGGTCGAGCCTGTACACACTGACCACTTCTTCTCCTCCAGTCGTTGAGTCTGGTCGGGTAGCTGCGTCGGGTCAGGTGTTTGCTGCAGCGTCCAGGTCTGGTCCTGAGTCTGCCCCCTGTTCGTGTCGGCTCCTGTCCCACGAGACTCTCCTGTGGCACCACCGCCTTGGTCACCCCTCTCTGCTTCGGCTCCGAGGCATGGCCTCCCGTCTTCTTGTTTCTAGTCTCCCCGGGTCCCTCCCTCCCCTTCCTCAGGGGCCTGGCCCTACCTGTGTCCCTTGTGTCGAGGGGCGCCAGCGGGCTGCCCCTCACTCCTCCCAGTTTCCTCCGACAGAGGCCCCGCTGCAGACGCTTCACATGGACGTGTGGGGCCCAGCCCGCATCCGTGGACAGGGTCACGAGCGCTACTTCCTGCTTGTTGTTGACGACTGCTCGCGTTACACCGCAGTCTTCCCCTTGCGCAGCAAGGGTGATGTCACTAAGGTGCTGATCGACTGGATCCGCGCAGCTCGTCTCCAGCTCAGGTAGAGCTTTGGCTCGGACTTTCCTGTTTTGCGTTTGCACTCGGACAGAGGCGGAGAGTTTTCCTCTGGCCTTCTGAGAGCCTACTGTCGCGCACGAGGCATCCGTCAGACCTTCACGCTTCCGAACTCTCCGCAGCAAAATGGGATCGCTGAGCTCCGCATTGGCATGGTCATGGACGTCGCTCGTACGTCCATGATGCATGCGGCTGCCCCCCATTTTCTGTGGCCGTTTGCGGTGAGGTACGCGGCGCATCAGATCAACCTCCACCCCAGGGGCTCCAGGCCGGAGACCTCCCCAGCCTTGCTGTGGACGGGGAAGGTTGGCGATGCGTCGGCGTTCTGGGTCTGGGGATCTCGGGCGTTTGTCCGCGACTTGTCTGCGGACAAGGTGTCCCCTCGTGCTGCTCCTTGCGTCTTCCTGGGGTTCCCCCCTGACGCGCCTGGGTGGCAGTTTTACCACCCCACCTCTCGCCGTGTTCTGTACTCCCAGGACGTCACGTTTGACGAGTCGGTCCCCTACTACCGCCTCTTCCCCTACCACACTCCGTCCCTCCCCCCGCCGCCGCTCTTCCTGGTCCCAGGTCCCCCCCTGTTAGACCCCCTCCCCCCTCAGGGTCCTGCCCCTTCAGGTGTGTCCCAGGTAGACGCTGTCGAGCCTGTCGAGGTCACTGATGACTCTTGTGCTGCTGAGGGTGCTGAGACTAGGGGTGCTGAGCCTGGGGGTGCTGAGCCTGGGGGTGCTGAGCCTGGGGGTGCTGAGACTGGGGGTGCTGAGCCTGGGGGTGCTGAGCCTGAGGGTGCAACGCCTGGGGGTGCTGTGCTTGGGGGTACTGAGCTTGATGGTGCTGAGCCTTAGGGTGCTGAGATTGGAGGTACTACGCGTGGAGGTCCTCCGAGTGCTTCGTCTCGCCGGGAGCCACTCTCTCCACCGGAGCTGCGCGAGTGGTTTGCCCGGCGCTGGAGGCGTGCTGCTGGAGCTGGAGGTTCTTCGGCTGCTAAGGGTGCTGGTTCCGCGGGTCCCGGAGGTGCTCGTACTGGGAGTACTGGAGCTGCTGGGCCTGCGAGTTTGACTGGAGCTGGTGCTGTTGCGGGCGTTGGTGCTGAGCCTACTGGTCGCGGTCTTGCTGGGGGTACTACTAGTGCTGCTGGAGGTTCTGGAGCTGCTTGAGGTGCTGCTGGAGCGGGTGCTCTTGCTGGGGGTACTGGTGCTGTCCCTGCTGTGTCTGGCGTTACCGGGCGGCCTCGACCGTACTTCGTTCCACTCCTGCAGCAGGTTCTTGGTCTTCCACCTTCTACACTTCCTCCTCCTTCTTTAGAGTGTCCACAGCCTGTCCCGTCACAGTTACAGTTACAGCCTGCCTCCCCACTACCTGCTCCCTCTCCCTACACTGGTCCTACTGGAGGTCTTGCTTAGCGTCGTGAGCCTGCGTCTCGCCCTGCGTTGCCTGTTCGTGCTGCTCGCACTAGTGGTCGTGGTTCGCGTCGGCGTCCTCCTCTTGTCCCTGGCACGCACCAGATGTCTCTGCGTACGCCCACTGCTCCTCTGCGTGCCCCTTTACCTTCTCCTCTTGAGTCCTCTCTTCCTGCTCTTGCCGACCCGGAGTCGGACTCTCTTCGTGCTGCCAGTCCTACTATCACGCGTCTCCTTGCTACTATCGTCACTGACCCTTCTTTCAAGTCCACTGCTGCGTCTGCCCTAGTTGCTGAGCTCGTCGACTTTGCTGCTCGCTGTCGCCTAGACTACGCTGCCAGTCTTGTCGCTGAGTCTGAGTCTGTCTGTTCTCCGTCCGTCGGGGGTGAGTGTGCCCTTGGCACGGACGTCCTTGAGGACAGGCAGGAGGAGTTCCAGTGTCTGGCTGCCGCTTCACCTCATCTCGTGTCCGTACTGCTTACCCCTGAGGGAGACCCGGATACATCCCGACTCCGCGCTCTTACGCGGAGGCGATAGAGGGTCCCTACTCCTCTTAGTGGCAGCCAGCTATGGACGCAGAGATGGCTTCCTGGAAGTCCACAGGCAGCTACGTTGACGAGGTTCCCCCGCCTGGGGCGAACATCGTCAGTGGCATGTGGATCTTCAGGGTGAAGCGGCCGCCGGGTTCTCCGCCTGTCTTAAAGGCACGGTACGTGGCTCGTGGCTTCAATCAGCGGCAGGGAGTTGACTACTTTCAGACCTTCTCTCCCACCCCGAAGATGACCACTCTTTGGGTACTGCTGCACGTTGCTGCTCACCGTGACTACGAGCTACACGCTCTCGACTTCAGCACAGCTTTCTTACAGGGCAGCCTGCACGAGGAGATCTGGCTGCGCCGCCCACCTGGCTTCACTGGGTCGTTCCATCCTGGTACCCAGTGGAGTCTCCGGCGTCCAGTCTACGGTCTCCGCCAGGCGCCCCATGAGTGGCACGACACACTGAGGACTACACTTGCGGCTCTTGGGTTTGCTCCTTCTACTACCGACCCGTCGCTGTTTCTGTGCACCAACACGTCTCTGCCGCCTGTCTACATCCTCGTGTACGTCGACGACTTGGTCTTTGCCACTGCTGACACTGCTGGACTCGCCTACGTGAAGTCCGAGCTGCAGAAGAGACACACGTGCACTGACCTGGGTGAACTGCGCAGCTACCTTGGCTTGCAGATCACCCGGGACAGAGCACGCCGCACCATTACCCTGACTCAGTCACACATGGTGCAGCAGGTCCTTCAGCGCTTCGGCTTCACGTACTCCTCGCCTCAGGCCACTCCTCTGCCTACTCGCCACTCGCTCTCAGCTCTGCCTTCGGATGAGTCAGTAGAGTCGAGTGGCCCGTATCCAGAGCTTGTTGGCTGCCTCATGTACCTGATGACCTGCACACGACCTGATCTTGCATACCCTCTTAGCATTCTCGCACGCTATGTTGCTCCTGGGAGACACCGACCAGAGCACATGGCTGCAGCGAAGAGGGTGTTGCGCTACTTGTGCAGTACGTCGGGCATGGGGCTAGAGCTTGGAGGGCGCAGTCCATTGGTCCTCTCTGGGCACGCAGACGCTTCCTATTCTGACGACCAGGCTACACAGCGGTCGTCACAGGGTTACACCTTCAGCCTTGGTTCCGGCTCTGTCTCGTGGCGGGCTACTTGCTCGTCTTCTGTTCTCGGCTCCAGTTGTGAGGCTGAGATCTACGCTGGGGCCATGGCTGCACAGGAGCTTCGCTGGCTCACCTACCTGCTGACCGACCTTGGAGAGCCGCCTCGTTCTCCTCCGGTTCTGTACGTAGACAACAAGGCCATGCTGGCCTTGTGTTGAGAGCAGCGACTGGAGCACAGAACGAAGCACATTGCTCTCCGCTACTTCCTTGCTCGTGAGCTACAGCAGTGTGGTCAGTTGCGACTTGCGTACGTGGCCTCTGAGGCCAACACTGTTGATGTTTTCACCAAGGCACTTGCGCCTTGTGATCATCAGCGTTTCTGCACTCAGCTGGGTCTTGTCCCTGTCTTGCCTCACTTGCTCACCTCTTGACCTTGCTTGTACTGTTACATATATATATATACCTGCTCTTGCTTGTCTAGCCTTGTATATATACGTACTCCTGCATGTGAACTGGCCTTGTGGCCTTGAACTTGTGCTTAGAATGTGTGGTGACTTTGTGATCCACCCTGAGCTTGCTTTGCTTTGCTTTGCTTGACTGGTCTTGTGACCCCCTATTCTTCCCCACTTTGCCTATGGGGGTGTGTCAGAACATTATAGCTTATGCTTTTGTGTAGGCTATAGTGGGGTATCCCATAGGGGGTACAACCCAATTAGGGTTAGTACTTGTACCCAGTTCATTCATAGTTCATTCATTCTCGTTCATACTTTCTTATCAGCAACATGCAGTATTCGAACTTCTGCTTTCCGAGCTTCTTGGTCAGGTAGTCAGCTGCCATCTCAGACGTGGGACAGTATGACAGCTCGAGCCTTCCCTTCTCGATCTCGTCCTTCACGAAGAAATATCGCAGGGCGATGTGTTTCGTCCTGTTCACGAAGTCGTTCTTGTTGGCTATGCGAATAGCTGACCGGTTGTCGCAGAACAGTGTAAAGTTGGATAACTCGGCTAACTTCGCTTCTTCCAGCAGCTCGCGAAGATAGAGTCCTTCCTTGGTGGCTGAGCAGAGTGCAATATATT